TGCGGTTTTAAGTGAGTTACTTAATCCTGACTTACAGTTTGATTGCACTTTGATCTGAGAGACTGTTTGTTATGATTTCCATTCTTTTGCACTTGCTGAGGAGTGATTTACTTCCAATTATGTGGTCAATTTTAGAGTAGGTGCACTGTGGTGCTGAGAAGAATGTATATTCTGTGGATTTGAGGTGGAGAGTTCTGTAGATGTCTACTAGGTCCACTTGGTCCAGATCTGAGTTCAGGTCCTGGATATCCTTGTTACTTTTCCATCTTATTGATCTGTCTAACATTGACAGTGAAGTGTTACAAAGTCTCTCACTATTATTGTGTGGGAGTATAATTCTCTTTGTAAGTCATTAAGAACTTGCTTTATATATCTGGGTGCTCCTATAACGGGTGCATTATATTTAGAATAGTTAGCTCTTCTTGTTGCATTGATCCCTTTACCTAAGTTATGTAATGCCCTTCTTTGTCTCTTTTGATCTTTATTGGTGTAAAGTCTGTTTTACCAGAGACTAGGATTGCAACTCCTGCTTTTTTTGTTCTCCATTTGCTTGGTAAATCTTTATCCATCCCTTTATTTTGAACGCATGTGTGTCTTTGCACATGAGATGGGTCTCCTGAATACAGCACACCAATGTAGAACAAATGCAGGGACAAGGACCCTCTGGGTTAGGGTTTGTGCACCTGCTCTGGGGGTTTTCCGCCTTGCTCTTCTGTCCCCACAGTTCACACTTTGGGTGAGAGCAGGGCTGGGCCTCTTTTTTTAAGACAGCCTGTTGTGAATTGCCTTCTTTCTCACACTTCTTCCTTCTTCAGTTCAGGCAACCCTCAGTGCTGGGGGCTCCTAAAAACATCTTAAGCCAGATTGTTAGCTTGTAAATACTCATGAAAACTTCTCCCAATACTTCATCTACTGTGAATTTGCAAATCGTATTTTGAGAAGGAGAAGTGGAATGCTGTTTGTTTCTTTGACTTCCTGTGCTGGCAGTCATCCAGGCAAGGAGTGAAGAGGAGCATTGCTCATGAGGAACACCATGCTTGATAACGGATGTTTTACGTACCTTACTTTAGTCAAGATGCAACCTTTACAAACAGGCACTGAAGCAAGACACATTTCAGGACAGCAGGGAGCTGACACAAGCAGTCTCAGAGCCTCAGTGCGCTCGGGTACCTACCCCTAAATCCTCATTACCAGCTACTGAACCTCTCAGCCTTTCATTTTTTTCATTTTTAAAAGAGGGACACCAATACATATAATTCATAGAACTGTTGTGAGATTGAGCTGGGATGAGTAGAACTCAAGAGGGTCTGCAAATAGTAAGTGCTTAATAGATGTTAACCTCTATTACCACCTGGGTGGGGTGTACCTCACAACTCAAGAAATGTTGTGAATTCCCCAGAATTGAGCCACAGGCCATGGGAGGCAGGAGGTCATCTATCTCCCATGAGAATTGTATGTGACATACTCTGAAGGACATGGAGTGCTCAAGGAATGGTGTGACTTTCCCAGGGTTGAGCCACAGGCCATGGGAGACAGGAGGTCACCCGAGTCCCAGCTGAGGCACTTTAGCAATGTGTTATTTTGTAGTAAAGAAGGACCCAGTAGAAGGCTACTGGCAGTTTTCTCAGGGGAGCATGTCAAGAATATCACAGGTGCCTTAGCCAGCTTGTATTTTAAAGCAATTAGAAAAGATGAGGTTGAGCGTGAGGAGGCATGATAGCCTTCTTCAATTAACTGGAAGATTGTCAGGTGCAAAGGAAGTAGGCTTCTCTGTGTGGCTGCAAGCTCAGAACTAGTGTGTTGGATTAGAAATCATAAAGCAACAGGTTTCAGCCCAGCTTTGGACAGAACTTCCTGGCAACTACAGCTGTCAACCAGTGGTCTGGGTTGAATCATGGTAGAATGTTATCCAATTCAGGAATGGTTTGTTGAATGAGCATCTATTAGAAATGGTAAGTAAGGAATTTTGCATTAGCTGATGGGAGGCTGTGCCCGTGACTTCTGAGTCCAACCCCTAACATTCCTGATTTCACAAGCATAATCCAGTTATGCAGGAGGCTTAGGAAACAGGGGCGTCTGATACTTGCCTTTTTTTAGACAATGCGGAGTAAAGCAGGTAATTATTTGCTTAATGTATATGAATACACATATGAGTATGTTTGTGTACCTTAGTCATTCTGCATGTTAAAATGTTTTAATCTATTTTCTTTTTAATGACTACTTACCATGCTCCAAGGTCATCCTTTTGAGCAAGAGTTCTAATTAGTGACATAGATATCACAAACAAAACAGACATTATCTGAATATATACAATTGCCTACTAAGAATTTCGAAGTTGTTATTTCAAATAAATTCCTGATTTTCTAGTCATAATCTGTTGCTCTTCACTGTCGAGGAAACGTCTAGCTCTGCCATGGAAGGTGTCTTTGATAGTGCGTGAAGGATGTAGGAGAGGAGAAAGCTGCAGACATGCAGGGCATGCTTCTGTTTGGTTTGTCTCATCAAGCCTAGTTTCTCTTATGAGAATGGCATCAATTGTGGGCTTTTGTTTGATAAATGTTGCTTCTGGGGATTCTTCTTGCATTAGGAAATACATGTGATGGAGAAATGCTATTCTCCTCAACGCCGTTGCATTACGGTTGATGGAAAAATCAAAGGTATGCATAGTTATGATGAGGATTCAGATTCGGGTCAGCTTTACAGAGGGCCAATCTGCAACTTGAATTACTAAGTTTATGGATATATTAGCTCAGGAAATTTATTTTTTAGCACAGCATTTTATTGTTTCACAGGGAATGAATATTTACAAAAATCCTGTCTACCATATGTATAGTGCTATGCATCCAGAGGGCATTCCATTAGTAAGAGTTTGGTACTGGAGATTTCCTTTTCCTTCTAATTCACAAGGCTGTGGACATTCATATATTTAAGCTCTCTTAAAAAACAAACAAAAATCTCTCACATTTACCTCTAATATGTTTAAGGTTAGGGAGGATCCAGGGATAAAGTTTAACTTTTTGATCTTACGTATTTATCATTTGCCTACTCATCTGATGGCAAGCAGAGATAGCCAAAATAAAAACATAATTTCTTTACCAAGTTTTTTTTTTTTTTTTGAGACAGAATCTCACTCTGTCACCAGGCTGGAGTGCAGTGGCACCATCTCAGCTCACTGCAACATCCGCCTTCTGGGTTCAAGTCGTTCTCCTGCCTCAGCCTCCCAAATAGCTGGGACTACAGGCGTGCACCACCACGCCCAGCTAATTTTTGTATTTTTAGTAAAGATCGGGTTTCACCATGTTGGCCAGGATGGTCTCAATCTCTTGACCTCATGATCCGCCCACCTCGGCCTCCCAAGGTGCTGGCATTACAGGCATGAGGCATTGCGTCCGGCCTATCCAGAGTTTTTAAGGAATGGAAGAATGGGCTGATTTATATTTTTTCCGACTTGTTTGCTTCTTTCTTCCTCTCTTTCCTTCTGTCTCTCATCCATGTGTGTATCATATATACGCATATGTATATGTCTACATACATATGAGTGTGCATCCTATATACATCTATGTGTGTGTTCCACATATATTACATCCTTCCATATATATATGTGTGTGTATACATCTAGCCACAGTGGTATGTCTCTTTATTACATTTTATGTCATAGTGTATAATTAAAATAGCAAATGGAGCTCCATGTAGGGAAGATGGCAACTTTCAGAAGCCCAGAAGAAAACTGAAAACATAGTTTAATTTTAAAATAAGAACAGTGCTTATGTAGAGCCAACTCTGCTACAATGTAAATAAACCATGCTGTAGAAGCCTCTGATTAATTTTGCACAAACCAGGCTCGTCTGAACAAAATGCCTATGGTATTAAATATGTAGAAGCATTTTTAAAATTTTATTTTATTAAAAGTAATATTTCAGTTTTTTTGCCATGTGAAAAGTGAATAAGTTATCTGTTATGATTGGCCTGTCACTTCCTGAGTGAGTTTCTGTCTGATTCCTTCAGGTTAGAACAGGGTTGGAGGTTACTGTGCCATTGTGCTAAAAATCTTTTAAGTATTAATATGCACCAGAAGTGACTACCTTATAATCTCTGTAGGAAGGGGTGCAGAGTATTACTTTCGTGTTGTTCAAAACACTTACATTCTATAGTAATACTAGTTAACCAAAAAGCCGTATAGAAGAAACCACAGGTTTCTATGGAGTGATTTGATCTGCGAGAAGAGTAAAGAGAATGGAAAGAAGGTCCAACATGAATGAACTACTTCCTGCTTCTGTTTCTGTGCTATGGACAGAAAGCTCATGAAATATGACCATGCAGCATGTGGAAAGAGATAAATGAGAGGTGAATGCAGCAGGTCAAAGTAAAATCACAAAAGACACATTTTATGGTTTGATGTTTAAAAAAGAAATGTATGGTACTTTAAACAATGTTATGAATAAACCTTTCATTGTGAATATGAGTATAAAATTCTGCAATGACACAAAGTGAAAATATAAAGAAATCATTATGAAAAATTTACACTTTATATCCATAAGAGTTGTCTGTTAAAAAAATTTACAATGCCTTGCTTTTATTTTGTTATTTATGCAAAGGGTTTAGTAAAATTGCCAAGACATCAATGAAAAAAATTTTTAAATTATCATCTTTTGAACTGACACTTGAAGTTCTGAGATTTGTTGTAATGTATACCTCAACTCTTAAGGTCTACTTCTTTTAGTGTTAAATTTATTCATCTCAGCCCTTTAGTTTGAACTTAAAAGAATATGTTTAATCTGTCTAACTAAATTCATGAAGCTCTGAAATAAGAATTTGATGCTTTCCCATTGCTGCTTACTCTGTAACCTCAATGACATTTGTCCTGAGGCTGTGCACTACAACTCAAGTTAATTACAAGTAGGTCACACATGAACATTCACGATAGTAACGTGTAAAAATTCCTATTTATAACCAACAACGTCAAAGCAACATTGATGTCAGAGCCCAAGTACAATACACCGTAATAGTACAATTTTCAATCTTTATTAGAAACATACAATGGAAAAGTACCCCCCTTCTAAAGAATTTTTGTCCATTTCCATTAAGGCCTCAGCAATATCAGCCTATTAGAAAAGGCTGATTTGCAAGTCAAATGGAGTCACTTGGCCAGCTGATTTCTGAACATGGGGTGGTCCTGGTTGTTCAGTGTCTATGATGCCTCACAGAAGAGACTGGCAGGAAGTCCTTTGCTTGACTTATTTACTTGATGTTACCTTCTTGAAGAGGTCTGCGCCCCAGTTACCAGGTGTAGGTTCCTCCCACCCCCTCCAAAAAAGGAAAAAATGTCAACAAAGCAAGATGAGGATCTGTGGGTGGGACGGCGTGTCGGGCGATCAGGGCTCAGTCTTCACATGCAGCTGCCTTCTGAGCCAAGGAGTGGGATGAAATCCCAGCTGCAGTCTCCTCCCTTCGAATCACCTTTTCCCACTGACTGAGATTATCCCTAGGGATCAAAGATGCAGTTTCAGGTGAAGCTTATTAAAGGAGTTCTGGACTTCGTCTTGAAATCTAACCAAACAGTTCTGTGCCATAGCTCTGCATAGCAGCGTTTTGTGAGGCCTCTGATGGCTGATGGTCACTAGTGTGACACGGCCAGGTGGGCTCTTGTGACGGCTGCTCAGGAAAGAGACTCAGCGGCAGCAGGGGGTCAGGGGCATCTTGGCTCACCTGCTCTGGCTTGCAAGAGCAGCAGCAATGCTAAGGCTGAGCGTATGTCCTTTCTTAGTAAGAAGGATGACTTTAAACAGGGAAAGAGCCCTAGGGTATACTTCTGAGGAATCTGCAGGGTCATGGAAAGGAGGAGATGCCACAGCAGGAGGAATACTCGGTGACAACACGAACCTTCCTACTGAGAAGTGCTGAAAGTGTGTCTCCCTGGAGGGCTCTAACCTCCTCACCTTACACTGGTTCCTATTCTGAACACTGTGTCATATATAAAGTCATCCTAAGTTACGCCTGGCACAAACTTTTGAAATTTTCTTGTTACAGTAAAACTGTGCTTGTGCTCTGCCAACACCTCACCCGAGGCAGCCTCATGTCTCCAGTCCTCTCCTCTTTCTCTTGCAGTGTCTGTAGTTCAGGTGTCACAGGCACTGTCATCTCTAACTGTGTGATCACAACCACTGCACAACCATCTGACTCCACAAAGCTACCCCGGCAGGGCTCTTAGCCACTTTCCGGTGTAAAGTCACAAAGGAATCTTGGCACTGGCAAACACAAAACTCCTATGAGGCACAGTTTCAAAATTCTCTCAAATTTATTTTAGCAAACAGGCTAAGCCACATTCAGATAGACAAAACCCTAAAATATAACTGAAAAGTGTGGGCCTTTTAACCTTTGTAACCTATCATCAAGTATCATTTTTCCAGATCCTAGAAACTTTCTGATATATTGGAAAAAGCCATACACTAATTTTGGTATGTTTCCTTGAACATCAATGATACATTGTAAACTTTTTAAGTGTTAATAAGATTCTAATGGCTGTGAAGAGATTCTGTGGTCCAGCCAAGTGTAGCGCAGCAGGAGTGCGGCAGAGCTGCCCACACAGTGGACACCATTCTCGGAGCTCCACTGGGACGGCGCCTCCACAGCTCCCTGCAGTGCTGGGCACGCACAGTCAGCACTCATGCCCTGGCTTCCAAATACCTGGTGTAAACACATAGGATTTCTCAACAGAAATGACTTTTGAAGATTGCCTAGCTTTTTTAAACATCTTGGAATTTACATTGATATTCCACTTTCTCTTTAATTCTGCACACACTTTTATAACAGAATTCTCTCAAGCATCATCTGGCCTCACATCCCCTATTTCCCATTTTGACTTAGGCCTTTGTAGTAAGTTAAGACTTTAATAAACGAACCACGGATTAAGGTCAATTAAGGCTCAACAAAACAAGGTAGGATGCTACTTTCACCTCCACAGAAGCAGGGAGGAAGGAGAAACAATCTCTTAAATACTATATATATAAGCTTTTTAATATTGTTTATTGGTCTTGTTTGTTTTCCTTGAAAAAAGTTAAAAAAACGTTTCAACAGCAGAAATTAAGAGTGTATTGTTTCTGGTTTTGTGTAAAGCTCCCTGGCCAGCGTCTGTCCTCCACTCTCCCACGGTGCCTCCACTCCACCCGGCCCAGGCACAGCTATGGCTGAGAAGTTAAAGCATGGCCCTGAGCCGATTCACCTGGAAAGGACTCGCATGCACAGCTGCTGGCTATCACCCTTTGACTTCCTCAGAGGGAATTCATAAAGTAAAATGAAAATCTTTAAAACTATCCAAGGTTCTTAACTGAGTTCACTCTTAAAAAGGATGAGGAAGGAATAGGGAGAAATATGAATCTAGAAGATAACTGATGGCTTAAATTCTTTTTGGAAGGAAAAAAAAAAGACTTAAAGAGGAAGGGGTTATCCACTTAAGGTTCCCTTCTTCCAATAAACAAGAATCTGTGTGATTTAGTCAGCCTCTTCCTGTACAGCATCCTGAATAGACACCACTGCCTTGTCTTTTTAAAAACAGCATTGGGCAGGTCCTCCGCAAAATAATCATAAAAACCTTTCCTCCTTTGTGGTGTATGAAGGACTTTACATGAATAGACACTTCACATATGCTTGAAAGACTTTATACGAATAGACACTCTTCACAGATGCATGGTGTACTGTGCAGAGACATACTGCGGCTGGCCAAGTCAGGATAGCCGGGGCGGGGGGGCCTCTTCCTCTTGTAGGACCCACTCCATCTGTCACTTCGAAGAATGAGGCACCCTGGCCAAGGTCTTTCTATCCCAGGCCTGAGGATCTCCAGTGACAAGGTCCCCTCAGCACAGATGCACCTCTCGTAAGGCCTGGAACCAAGCTGGCATTGCGAGGAGCGCACGAACTCCCTTTCTGAAAGAAACAACTAGTACCCCACCCCGACTGAACATGGGTGTAAGAGCAGGAAGGGTCCCCCATACCGACACAGAGACCCTCCCAGTCACTTGGTCATCTGGGTCCTGACTATGTATGGCCCTGGCCCCCAGCCTGTTCCCACTGTCCCTCTCTTCAGAGTGCAGCCAGAAGGAGCTGCCCGAGCACCTAAGGTGCCTGAGGCTCATCTTTGAGGAGAATCGAAGCAAAGGGAATAAGTCGCACCCCTGCGGAGGCCAGGTAAGGGTGCCCCGAGCCCCTGAGAACAACAACTCGACACCTGGACAGACACACAGCCCATAACACGCCAATGGAGTCAAATAATCCTATACAGATCTCAGGTTTTTAGAAAAATATCATTACAGCTTCAGTCGTTATACATACCTGCATGCTTTAAGGAGAGGCTCCGTGGGAGGGAGGATCTGGGTAAGGGTTGTATAGCAGGGAATGGCTACAGCATTGTAGAACTCAAGCTGCCTCCGTGCAAAAACCATGGACAAGAAACAACAGTGCACATTAGCGATTCTAGTGATACTTCTATTTCTTAAGTGAATGTTGTTCTGTTTCTGAAGCCTAATTATAAGATTAAATGTTCTAGTTTTGCTGTATGTGATATTTGGGTTCCATGAATACTATTATAGAGTGTATTTTAAAATGCATTCTAGAAATAAAACACGTAACGATTCAAAACATATTACGAAAGTTAAAACCTGTTGAAATCTAAGACCCTGTTGAAATTAAATGACATTCTGCTAATAGATCGGCCAGTGGCTATTCAAGGTCTGTGCTTGTCCCCGGTACCCTCAGTGCTTTCTTGCAGACACCTGAGCGCACACCCTGCCATTCCTCCGCACACATGGCTCTTTCCGCCCTCGGGCTCGGGCTGACCGCAGTGTGTTCTGCCTGGCTGCTACTCTTAGCTTTGGTGCCTTGTGTGGTCTCCCAATATTTTATTCATCCTCCCTGCCCTCTTATTTGAATTAAAATAAACGTCATTGGTTTTATCATAGCTCTTTCCATTTATTGTTCTTTTAATATATCAGATTTCAAAGTTTTAAAATCTGTAGTACTTTAAACAATTTTATTAGGAATTCTGGGTCACCATGTAAATAAATGACGCTACCTCAGACTGGCCTACTGAAAGCCAGATGTGAAAGACATGTGATGATTAGCCTGAGAACACAGGTTGTCTAGTCCTAAGTCGCTGGTCAAGTGGCTGCCACATGTACAAGACAAAATGAGCTCTCTAGATGAGGTGACCCCCAAACCACAGCCCACCTATTTCTCTAAAATACTGAACTTCACTGAGATGCATCGAAGCATACAGAAGGCTCTAATTTATGTGGTTGCTTCTTGCTTTCTCCTGTTATAAAGTCTTTCGTCACAGCACTCTTACTAGAATAGCGCCTATGTTATTTCCATTTTTAACTTTATGGCTTATGCAGAGGCTTTTTATTCTGATATTTAGCAGATGTCATGGGGCAGAAGATCCCAGAAAAGACATTAATTATTAGAAATTAGAGTATTTCATTATTATGGCAAAAAATAATTTCACAGTGATCAACTATTTAGAAGCAATATGATTGGTAAAATATTAACTGACCATAGAAAATTTTCTTTAAACCTTTCTTATTCTGTAAATGAAAATCAAACTATTCTAAAACAAACTATTATCATAACTAAAAACACTAGAATAAAACTCATAGGCTGACAGCATCAGTGAGAAATTTCCAGCTATCCCATGCATTCTGTTGGGATGACTGTTAACTATCTGGACGGAAAATAGTTTTAGATCTCTATCTTAAATCATATAACAAGATATATTCCAAACGAGTTAACAAATCAAATATAAAGTCATTAAAAAAGTAACAAAAGAAAATATAGGCAAATATATTTAATCTCAAGGTGGGCAAGAACTTTTCAAATACAATGTGAAAAGCAGACACCAAACAGAAAGGACTAACAGCTGTGACTCCATATATGGGAAAATTCCATAAACAGTGGTAAAAAGTGACAAAAACTGCAAAATACACTTGCAGTAAACATGACAGGTACTCAGGACCCCTTTCAAATTAAGAAGGAAAAGTGAGCATGCCGTCAGAAAAACTAGGCAGGGACATGAGTGGAGGCAATGCCCATTCATTCAGCCTCTTTGTTGTGCTGGTGCCCTCTGTGAGCTGTGGACATGCCTAAATTTTGTATAAATTAATTTTAAATAAAGGAGGGAAATTTGAGAACTTATCAAAAACCATCATGCTGTGGATTTTTGAAACATTTTCTAAACTTATCTGTATCATAATTATTTGCCCACAACTTCCTTGTTATGCCATTAGAAGATTAGATAGTTAACAAAAACCATACTCTCAGAAATATATTACACCACACATAAACAGATTCAAAATAATGAGACACCAGACCTCTGAAAACATTAGAAAAAAAATAAATTATGTAGTAAGACCTGGAAAGAGGATAATTAATGTCAACTTACGCTGAGACAAAATGCAAAATGTACTAAAATAGTAAGCATTATTTGTCAGAAAAAAATGGACCTGAATCAAAATCTGTAATGTAACTCTCCAAAAATATCTTTGTTTAGCCAATGACAAAATATTTTCTGCTTGTTAAAAATATGACAATTCAAATTCATCCACCCACTCTATTTCAAGTCAGAAAAGAAAGCCTATTGACTGCAACGGCAGCTGTAGAAAGGAGTCATGGCAAAGGCAGGATGAATTCTTTAAATCCACAGAGATTTCCTAACGTTGGTCTTATTGTCCCCAAACTCTGTCTAAATGGAGAAGGTTTCAAGTGGTTCTAGGTTGTGTCCTGCGAGCGCTGTCTTCCCAGTCCACAAGGCAGCCAGACCCTCAGGATTCCTCACTGTGGCTTTAGCCTTGGGAATGGAATCAGTGGTTGGAGGTGGTGGTCAAACCCAGATTAAAAGTATAAACTCTTTTAGAGTCTACTTTCCTGAGTGTCTTAGCAAGTGAAGGCTCGCCTGAGTAGATGATTATTCCAGGGTAAACAGCTGTTCTTTTTCTAGTTCTCAGCTCCTATACAGTACATTTCTAAAGCTTCTATATTCATCACCAGACCTGCCTTGACTATCCTTAACATACCATAAGATGACATATGCTTTTCATTCATGTATGATTTGATGTCCACCTTAAACTATTTGACTTGAGCAATTACAATTTACTTTAATAATTCATACCTGGCCTTGTGGGACTTCATCCTTCTTGTCTCTGTCCATCATAGGAATCGGCTGTATTCCCAATTTCTTCATTTCATCACCCTAAAATAAATGGGGGAAAAAATCATGCTTTCTCAAATTTCAAATTGTTATAAAATTTTCATATTACATAATTATTCCCTTTACTTGTTCATTTTCTTCAAAACAAGTAATATTTGTTGTTGTTAACCCAAGGAAAAAATGTCAAAATAATGAAAAGCTTAATGTACCATTATTTTGTACTTTATCTTGATTTTCTCCACTACTGAATTACCAGAAACCCAGCCATCCTTACTGGTTTCATTTTGCAGAAGTTAGTAAAAAAATGTGATAATAAGAGGAGACATAGTAAACAGTGAGAAGAAACAATAATAACAAGATATGGAACAGCCCCCAGGCCCTTCTCTCTTTCAAATGACCTTCCAGTGCATGGAACTCAGTGAAGTGTGGCTTTCCAGAGGAATATTTACAGAGGAATAAAGAGCAACAATAGTCTGCTAAAATGTGCTAGTAAAGGCACAAAACAACTGACTACACACATCATCTAATTTACAATTATAGGTAATAGTTACTAAAGATTCACTATGTTGCAGGCACTGAGCTAAGTAATTTGGAAATATTATTTCATTTAACCCTCATGAAATACTTTAAGATATCTTATTCCCATTTTACAGATTTTATAAATTATCTTCTTTTTATTTGTTTGTTAAAGTTAAAATTTGCTACAATCTTCTTCCTTAAGATTTCCTATTTTTCCTAACTCCCCACTCTTCCCTCATATTTCTTTATTATTTTAGTTATGTTAGTCATGTTTTCAGAAATCAGAAGTACAGCCTAGAAACTTTCCCAGACTTGCTAAAATAAGGCCTACAAACAAATTACTATCACCATAATAAGGAATTTTACATACAGGACCAAAGCACTCGTCCCGACAAAGCAAAGCCACTTTGAGCACAGCTGCTGCTCCATTGCTACTGCTTTAATTAAAAATCAGTGGTCTCAAATTTTTTGCTTCTGTATCCAAAGTGAGAGGGACATACTAAGCCCCTTGCTCTCAAAGACCTGACACATCAAACAAGACAGCTTTTTAAACAAACAGATTTGAATATGTACTCGAAACAAAAATGCTAAAATGGAAAAGAACCCAGTGTGATGGACCATGCCTATAACGGAGGGCTGAGCCAATCTGAGGCTGTAACAGAATGCAGAGGGCAGGAGCGCGGTCCAGGCAGAGACTGCGGGGAACAAAGACCTACATGACGGCGAGGGGCTGAGACAGGAAATATGCCTGCACAGGCAGTGGGCAGGGGGCCGGCCACGTGGGCTCTCCACACGGAGGTCGATTTCGGTCTGTATTACTGCAGAGGACCTGAAGCAGGGTACTGATGGAATCCGAATTATCATCACCCCTATCTGATAAACTGGCCTGAGGTTAAATACCAAGCGCCAAAGCAGACTTTTAATCTCAAGCAAACTGGCACCAAAGACCACATTATTCATTACTTTTGCACAGATTCTAAAAGGTAAAGGTGGGGAATTCAGTTAGAAAGTTGCAGTACCCCAGCCATGATTTGGTGATGATCCAAAGCAGGGGAGTGATCATGAGGATGGAGGGAAAAGGCAGGACTTTATAGATACTGGGATCAACTGTCAGGACTTGGTGAATATATTTCTGCTTCTTCCTATGGACTATGATGAGGTCAGTGAAGACTGCGCCTAAGAGTGTGCATGGAGCCAAATCAACGTCTGTGGACTGAAAAACCAGTGAATAACAGAAAGGGAAAAAAATCTCCATTACATATTGGTCACATTTTGGCATTAAAATCTCCAGCTTTTAATCCTGCACCTTCCTTTTGCTTTAAGTTGTCCTTCAATGACTGCACATTTTCCACATTCATCTAGAATATAGAAATCATATTAGAATCTATAGATATGCCTTTCTCATAGCAATCCTGTACCTAAACAAAAGGTGCACTTTTAGTATGAGATAAAAAGTTATTTCACAAACAGTGCAAGGTTTTTGCTCCTGCTGGCATAGCTGGAGAGATGGCTTCATGAATTTCCTTTTCTTTTTTAAAATGATCCTTACATGGGATTTATTTACCTTAAGCAACCACAGCTGCAGACTTCAATCCGGGGAATGTATCAAGCAACTCAACTTTTTCTTGTCGTGTCATGACTTTTCTTTGCTTCTTAAGAGCACTTCCAGCAACCTAGTGTAGCTCTGTACAGGTGCCATGGTGTTATTCAGGACTTACGGTATTGCACTAACACAATGAAAAATATGCAAGAACCACAAGAGATCACTTTTTACTGTAGTAAATGATTTACTGGAGAGAGGAACTGCTCACAGATGATTAGCCTCACAGAGTGTTTCAAGCACAGCATTTTAAGTGGATACTTGCAACACTTGAGCTCACCACAATAGCAAAAGGAAATTGCTACAAAAGTATTACAGTAGTGCCATATATACTACAGTTAATTTCAGGCAGTTACGATTTAACATGGCATCTTTATGTTTGTTTACATTTCTCGCCACAGTCTATAATAGTGTGTATGTAAGTTTTGATTAACTTTCATATATTTGTGTGTATTTTATGGTAGTAAATGACAAAACAGACTAGTATCTTCACATACTTTATACATTTATGGCATACCTAAATTAAATTTTTTCAATATTTCTAGGCTATGTTGTTCTGTATTTTTGTCACAAATCTCCAAAAAATCTTCCAATATATTTACTGAAAAGTATCTGCATAGAAGTGGATCCACACAGTTCAAACCTGTGCTGTTCAAGGGTCAACTGCACATCTACATCACTCTTCCTATGAGTCTGACGGTAACTCGGTTCTGACACATACACAGTAAAATAAAGAGAAAGCTCATGCGAAACCATGCATACATGATGTACAAGGCATTCTGGGAGAAATCATGCCAGGAGTATAATCAACTCAAGGCCTGTGATCTTCCTACAGTTAAAAATGCTTTGTCTTTACTATTATGAAGTAATTCAACATGATAAACTTTTCCCACTAAACTTGTGGCTGATTTGCTGTTTATGTTTTACATACATTCTTCGTATGAGTGAGATAGATGATTGAATCACCAGCTGCTTTGTCCTCCAGATTTACTTTTATTTCATCAAACTAGAAGAAGTACTCAAAAGAGTTATAGTTTTATTCAAAAAGTAATTTTTGAATACGCAAAGACCTAGGTATTTGTGACTCAGCTGGAAAGGAGAATTATATTCTACTTACTTACATACAATTCAATAAGCAAATTGAGCAGTACAATGCACATTACTGATAAATTGCATAATTCAGTCAAGAAAAGGTGTTAATGTAAGTCATTTATGTGTTGTTTCAGGAGTATTACGAATTAACATTCCATACATTCTGAGGAACTCATAGTTTACAGGTGAGGTGACTATTGATTATATTTACATATTCTCAATTGAGGTGAGGTGACTATTGATTATATTTACATATTCTCAATGTCTATGGTGCAAAACAATCCTCCTGAATATTTAACTGCAGGCGGATATATCCCATATTATGGGATCCTCTGAGTACTTTGTCCAGTGCCTATCTAAAGTAGATGGCCGGTAATGCCTACTGAATGAACGAAAGATCAGCTGTTAAGTAAAATAACTGTCACACTATTGTTCAGTGAGTAAGTTCCTAAACTCTTTCAGTTGAGCTCAGAGAATTAGACACATATGCAAGTAACATATAAAAGAATGATCATTCTCTCTTTGTATCTGCCTAACTGCTAAATCCTTCAGTATATGATTCACCACAGTTTTCTAAAATAACTATCATCATGAACAACTAAGGTATTCTTAGCAATTTATCCATACATTTAATTTCTCCTCACTATCTATGTTAATAAAAGAATCAAGGACATACCTCAGCCCAATTCTTCATATACATCATTTGTTATCAATTTCGTAACAGGCCACAGTTTTGTCACATAACAAAGATCACAGGCAGTCATCATCAAACCAATTACACGGTCTCTAGAACACAAAAATATAAGACTGGTCAGCATAGCATTTGCACATTTATAATAAGAACTAGGAAGAATTTCGTATTTCAGGAGTGAAGCCTAAGTACGTATTACTTCATGAAGGAAGAATGATGGCATTGAAGAGCACATACAAGTAACAGCTAGGACAGTGAATGGAATTAAAAATTAGTGTCATTTAATCACGAGAGTCACTTCTATCATGAGTCCCATGAGGAGTTCATCATATGTTCCTGTTGCCTCAATGTTACTGAAGAAATCAAGTATAATGTAGGCTCTGGCTAGGCTGTCATGTAAATCCCCTGGTACACTTTCATGGCTGTGAACCAGGCTTTCATTTTCATTGAATTTTGGAAATTTAGAGCAGGAAGGTATCTTAAGAGAAAATTTATCCCAATCCTTTCATTTTATACTAGGGAAGTCTGAGGTGCACAGATATGAAATGACTTTTCCAAGAGGACAGGAATTTGTGGCAAGGCCAGAGGAGGAGGTGGCTGTGAAACCTGCTTCCTCGCTTCCCCCATGCAAGTGTGTGCGCTGGGTGCAGCCTGCAAACACTGCGCTTCCCATTAGCAGGTATTCAACACCTGCCTTTCAACCAAAATGACGTTTCCCTTTTCAGCTGCTTGCATTCATAACTATGTGCTCCATGTCTGACTTTATTTTCTAAATACGGCGTGGTTTAATCTTCCCCCTTGAAGAAAAATAGTAACTTTAAAAAATTCAAAGACCTATCCCCTACAATTTGAATAGATTTGGTCTAGTGATATGTGGCTATGTGAAGTCTATACTTAACAGAATAATTAAGTGGTAGTAATTAACAAAGTTTAAGGTACAACCTTATCTTTTAAAAAGCAAATTACATAACTGTAAAAGACAAATTATCAACAAGATTACAAAAGTGTGTAATGAGTGAGACGATGCTTTTATTTCTAGCTCCCATCTCAGTTCTAATGAGTTCAAGCAATCCCTGCCGTTAACCACTGCCTCACGTCTTCCAGGTCCACATTCTCCACTTGTGAGCGCAGTCCTCCCCTAGCTCCTAGGCCTGTCTTGACTCGGCAGACAGCGCATTAGCAGCATCTATCTGTCAATTTGGCAGAGACTCTGCTCTACTAGTGCTCTTAACGTATCTCAGCCCAAGCTAAGATGTTGGGATACCTAGAATACCCTGGTTCTTATATTACCATGAATCACAGAGTTCTTTATTTTCCATCAACTCACTTTCTTTATTTAGCCTGTTTAAGTAATCATCTCTTTTGCCGCCTTTTTGTAAGGGCAATTTCGAGAGGGTTTCAGGTCTCTTATAGGTCAGGCTAAGTCACTTTACAAACATTGGTTAGACTTATGCAAAACCTTCCTGTAACCCCAAACAGATGCCATGTGAAGATTCAAATCCCTTACAGTGATCAGGGAACTATTAAGAACTTAATGAGGTACTTTCCCAGAACTTTGTGCCTTGAAGAGTATTTATTTTTGAATTTGGACTTCTAAAGTAATACATATATGACTTTTTTTCAACAGGTAAATTCATTTAAACACAAATCAAATGTGAAAACTACTGTTTACAAATAATTACTTCATATGTTTAAAATAATTCAATTTCGCTAATTTATATTCACCAAAATAAGCAATGCTTATCATGGTGAAATGATCTAATAAGCTTTATCTCAAAAAACCACTTTCATAAATCTGTAAAACAAAAGAAATGTCAATGGAATTGGGCATTATAAAATACATGAAAGCAATTTTCTCGCTGGAAATTATTCCCAACATAAAGTTGCCAATATAAGGATTGAAAGAATTACAAAATAGTTATTTAGATTTCACTGTCAAAATTACTTAGACAAAGCACAAAAAACAAAACAGATTAGAAATTTGACATTAAATGTCTTTAATAAATATAATTACTTTTTTACTCCCAATTACAAACCTGTTAGATGGCCTTGGCAGTAGATAAATATTAATATTAATTGCAATCAACATTGTATTTCTATCCATGGATGGAATGTAGAACTAACTCCTAACTGGTATAGATGCTTAATTCCAAATCTGCTTTAATAACCCACTGTGAAAGGGATCGCGTTTATGCTAAGCATAGTCTTGTATGATCTCATATAACCTAGTCACTAAAAACAATGAACTGAGAGCCCAACACTATGCCCATGATAAAATGTTTCTTACTCACATCATTTCTGAAAGTTTAACTACAGTCACTTGTCCTCAAAAGTTCTGAATGGCTGAATGTATCAGGCAATTACAGCAAAGAACAAAATAGACCCTGTTTTCACAGTACTAATGTTCTAGTAGGGAAAGGCAGATGATCAATAGGTCAAAACTTTCATCAAGCAAGTGCTGGGTAAAAAATACAGAGAGAGAGAGAGAGAGAGAGAGAGAGAACACACCACGTGAAAATCCGTGAGCGAGGGCCAGCAGAGAGGAGTGCACGTGAAGTCCTAATGTGGAAACAAGGAAGGCAGGTTTGAGGAACAAAAAGAAACGGCATTCTGGCTGAGACACAATGCGTGAGGTGAAACACAGAATGGAGTTAAGTTTGGAAAACCAGGCTGGAGACAAGATAGGAGTTTAAGTTTCATTCCAAGTTTGATGATAAAATCTTGATGTCTTTTCCCAGATAAGTGGCCTGATATAGGTATTAAGGAGGATTACTCAGGTCTGCTGGGTGGAGATGACTTATAGACCTGGGAAGGACCAAGGGCAGATTTGGAGTGGTCGCTTACGAGGATATACTACGGTAGTTCAGATGAGAGGTGAGGGCAGCTTGAATTATGGTGACAGTAGTGGGATGGGGGAGTGGGAGGGTTCCCGACATTAGAAGCAGAGCCAAATGCAAATTATTAACACCCAAAAGAGTTACAAACAAGGCCTCTCTCTCTCCCATCTTCCTTTCCTTTTCCTTCCTTTCTCCCCAACTCTCATGTATTAATTATCCCAGACCAAGTGGGGTAGATAAAGAACACAGGCTCTATCACAGGTGTGTGGATATTCCAACCTGAAAGTGGTAGGCACCTCTCCCTAGCATGCATGTTTGCCTTCTCAGTGCCATCTTATTTCAAGATATTTTTCCCACGCCGGAAGATCATGGAACCACAGAACTTTACCAAAGGCAGGCAAAATAGGCCACACAGCCTGTGTAACTTCAGGTGAGTTACTGATGGGCAAGAAGGAAGCCCAGCCCTCCCACACCGCCCCCAATCCCATGCGACACACTGTAAACTTAGCCAGCCAAGGATGTGCCATTTTGCTGGAAAAGAACACTCATTCTCTAATTTTATCGGGACTCTTTGAAATTTTTTTTTGAATTTCTATACTCAAAAGTATACTGATGTATAAGCAAAGACCAGATTTCTGTTATGAGGTAGTCTTAATTATAATTGCTATAGTGGTTAAATGATACCAAGTAGTTAGCTAAAAAGCAAACATGTGGGGGATGCACAGTAAATGTTTTGTTTAGAAGCTGTCATCTAGCCTCATTTTAATTATTTTATTTTAAAATAAAGTCATGCATAGAATTTGAAAAGAAACTAGGTTAAATTCCTTTTTTTCTTTAAATTAGCATCTTAAATTTTTTTTTATCTCGCTTTTAAATTCATCTTCAAGGGATTTTAAATCATTGGGTTGAGTAATTTAAATCATATCTGTAGTAACTACTATACTTTCATCAAAATGTGACCCATTTTGACTAATTTATTAAACATTAAACTAGTCTAAGGATAATACAGTTTTTCTAAAAATATTATT